GTGGAGTTTTTACTTGCAACTCAGCTATTAAAAATGTTCACGAGATGTGTTCCAATGTTGGCAACTCTTCTCTTAATTTCTTATAACTGTTACGTTGCAAAGCTATTTCTCCATTCCCAAACATCAGAAGAACCAGAGAGAAGCTTGAATTTCGGTACTTCAAAATGAATTTCTCAATAAACACCAACCTCAGTCAAATCTGATACCATCGAATATCTTTATTAGCAGCACTTACGCTAATACACTAGTGGCGTGAATCCTGAATTATCACGAAGGTTCTTTTTGGTGCTACAACGATATTAAAATAAAGGGAGTTAAAATGCAGTTATGAAAATAGAGTTCGTTAATTAAGAAGTTTTAGAACATGATTGCGGTTATTCCTCCTTGGATTAGACTTCTAGGATGCTTTGGTGGGCTTCCCCTTCTTCCGTCCTTGTGCCGGAGCATCATTTGTCTAGTAAAAGAAAAGACAGGACATGAGCACGGAGCCATGCAAAGCGGGAGGGGGCAGTGATGGTGGCAGCAACAGCAGATGCCTCACCCCCTTCTGCAACCCTTGTGAGCGGACGTGACGGTCTCCTCGCAACCAGGCCACGGAAGCTGCTCAGGTTCAACTCTGGCAAACCTCCACAGGAAACTTCCAGAAAGGAAATCCAAGATCTATCCCAGGAAAGTATGTTTCTGCAACCTATATAAATTATGCAAGCGCAGCACATTTGAATGTATTTGCTCAATCTGTGCAATACGCTTTTGTCTAATCGAAGAGCCACAGGACTATGCCAAGCAACGAGGGCCTCGCCCAGAACCGGGTAGAGACATTGCCTGTATGTGCCCGTGCCTGCCTTTGCAGTTCTTACGGTGTTTCTGCTCTGCCTGGTAGGAATTTGGTCCATGGAGTCACACTGCGGATAATCTAGGAGTCATGGATTCAGGATGGCAGGGCAGGGCAGGGGGGGGGGGTATCTGCTCCTCTTCTGGGCGTTAGAAGCTCACTTACACAAAGAGAGAAGAGCGAGTGGTGAGAGTGACAGTCCAGAACCTTTGCAACGAGAGAGAAGGGCCTTGCTCTGCCTCCCTCCACTCTCCCCCCTCTGGAAGTCAGAATATGCCTTGGCTGAGATTCCATGATTCCTGAGAAGATGTTCCAAGGAAGCTGCTCTTTGTTATTGTTAAAGCTTTCCAAGCAGTTCAGCACATGGGACAATCCAAGAGAATAGCCTGTCTGCTTATCCTGCTGTCAGGGTGTCTGTTTGGCTTGCTAAATGGACATTTGCTTCAGACAAGCCTAGCGAGGTTTATTAATGGTGAGATCCTCTCTGTCTTCAGGGCACTCTTGTTACACATTTATTGTTTCCCTAGATGAACACCAGAACACAATCCCGGTCAGCAGCGTATCCAGATTAGGGGTGCCACCTGTGCGATAAGAACATATTCCGTAGGCTGCCTGCTTCTTACTGACAGGCTGAAATCAATGTGTGTGAACTGACCTCATGGTAAGGAATCTGAAAATCCCTTGTGCAGTGGTACCAAGAGCGTGGTCCCAAGGAAGCACGGAGGTGGTTGGCACCCTTCTGTGCAACCCCCGAGTGAGTGGGACCAAAATATTGCATTTCTGAGGAGTTTGAGAGATCTCAAGGAGCAAAATGGACATCTCAAGGCTTAAAAGATGCCCAAGGCCCGAGAAACCATCCCCGACTGGTTCTTGGCCCTGCCCTTGACGTGCCACCTCCAAAGGGCGTGGCCTTGAACCCACAGAAATGGTGCAGCCCTGCTTCGTATCTTAGCATCAGCACATGCCATCTTCAAACCTACGTTTCTATAACTGCAGGCCTGTGGTAAAAGAACCACCACCCTCTGACGTGAGTGAACGCAACAGGCAAAAGCTGGATGGCGAAGCTCGTAACTGAGGCGGGACCTGAACTCCCATTTCCCCATTTAAAGCCCAGCTCTGGCATGCCGCCGTTGAAACAAGATATGCAGGTATCAAAACACTACTGTACTTACAAAGACGGTTGGTTTGGGTGCAAATGTGCTTCCATCCTCATGTGGGAAATGAAGCTGAACTGACGGACTTGAGACAGATTTTTCTGGTGAAGTTTTTCTCTGTTTCTGAGGCAAGCTGTCCCCTTGAGGCTGACCATGAAGGCTAATCAACATCTGCTTCATCGCAGCTAGTTCCTAAAAAAACCGAAGCGCAAGATCAAATTGCTGGGTGTGAAATGGGGACCTCCTACTGACCTATCATCTGGGTATGCAACCAGAATCATTGTGGCCAATGAAAATGGCTATCTTCCCTTTCCGCTCTCCTTATTTATTTGAAGCCATCTCATCACAGAAGCAATATAAGGAAAAGGCAAGGAAGATATTCATAAACAACAGCTCATTTCCTCCAAGTACTGCAACAGGACAAGGTCGCAGAAGCTTGGCAAAGAAAGAGCATTTGCTTAATCCACTCAACATGCTTGCAAATAGCAGTTGATGATCGAGAGTGGTAAGATGCATGCTTTTCAAAAGGTGTATGTTAAAAAAAATCCTTTATCTCTCCCCAGAAAGAAAAAGAAAAGGGAGAGAACATATGGGAAAAAAATGAGTGCACCTAAAAAAAATTATCGGAGAAACGTCAAAGGGTTAAAAAACAGAAGAACTCCTGTTTTGGAAACAGAACCACAGTATGGGAAGAATATAGCGCACAGATATTTTACCCGTACTGAATGGATTATAAAGCAAAGAAAGAAAACCTTCCATTGGCCCTTCATAGAGGGAGGGGACGGGCAGCTTTAAATCCATGCTTCAAGCAGCAGGACTCACTGGCTTCCCGCGAAGTTAATTTGCACTCTTCCTTTATTGTCGACTCTTAATTTCCCAGACTGCATAAAATGGCCCTTCAGAAGATCTCTGGTCGTTCTATGCTTTGGGGAAAGCAGAGCCCCCCGGGCAAGGACACTGCTTAGACCACGGGCTTGTCTGGGTCACTGTACATTCCTAACTGACCAGGCAAAACAGTGCACCACTTAAAGAGTTAAACGTTGAAGAATCTGTAGAGGCTCATGACATGTAATGCCAAATCTCTCTTAGGTTGACCTGAGAGATGCATTAAAGGCTCTCATGAGCATAACTGAAGGCACCTCACTTTGTATCCGAGCCGAATCTGATGAAAGAAGGGATCTCCATGAAATTTGACAGGATGAATTCTCCATCCCTCCCAGAATCACCGTACAAGCTTTGCCTGCCTCTTTCAAAGAGGGGAAGGGCACCAAAAGGGATTTGCAGAAAAATCGGGAAGAGATTGGTTTTGTATAAGATGGGTAACGCAAGCGCTTTCATCCTTGAAAAAGTGAAATAATGCACGCCTTATGTCTCCAATGTCAGCACTGAAAAAGTTAGTTCTTTCTTCCCAGAGCTTCCCCCTACATAAGTTAACCAAACCCTTTAGGCGCAGGGCTCTAGTGTGGGGTTAAGACCGATACTTCATTTTTCTTGGTACGGGTCCATTTCCCATTGAGGGCAGGGTGTACTTTCAATACTGTTGCCTAGATTAGGAGACTGCAAGCCAGCATCTCTCTGCTGCAGAAAAATATAAAATAAGAACACATTTCTTAATTTCAACATGGCTAACACATGATTCACATCATGTTACAGCTTTAATAATGGGCAAGTGCCCGGAAGGACGGAAACTACAATTCCTCATATGCTCCTGCACAGAATCAGTTCTGGGGGGAAGGTGATCCACATGTTGGCTTAAAAGGTAAAAACAGGCAGTCCTACAGCAATGATGAGACTGATTCAGTCAATGCCCAGGACCTCAGCAGGAGTCTCCTGTGCTTCCATCCCAATCCTGCGGCAGTCGGAGCGGCGTGCGCCCGTCTCGTTGCTCCATCCTTTAAGATCACAGCTATTTGCATGATTCAACCACGTGCAGTGGCATGTCAAAACAGTTCAACTGCAGAGCAGCTGTTTCCAAGGGCTGCATAACTGATACTAACATGTTGCTGAAAGTTGTAAACTCTGCAAAGACGTTGCCAAAGCAATGCATAGACAAAATTTTTGATGAAAATAACTTGGACAATTATATTACAAGTACGTGCTTCATCTTTAGCAGACCGTGATTACAGTCCAACCATACCTATTACTTGTAAGCTATGGAAATTAGAGAACTTACAAATACCTTCTGGGCTGGGATGTAAGCAATGCTCCCATGCTAGCCAAATATGTAATGAAAATAATTTTGCTGAATCTTCTGTTGCTCAAAGAAGTGGTGACACCAGACCCCACCCCCAGGAGCTCCCCCCAAACGACACCAAGCAATTCATGCAGATAGAGAGTCTGTGTTACAGGGATGTTATTTGGCCATCGTATCTCCCGGAGAGAGGCCAGCCCCAGGAACAGCAGGGAAACAATGGCCTATCAGAAAATCAGGGCAAACTTCCCAGCCCTTTGCAAACCAGTAGAGTCTTGCATGATGAGAGATATCAGGAGAATTTGATGATACAGGAGAGGTTTTCCTGCTTTTTAAAAGTTATTTTTATTAGAATATTGAAGACTGTAACCTAATCTTGCATAAAGCTTTTTTAAGAATTTAGTGCCAAGTAAAGTTCCAGCCTACGTCTAAGTGTTAACTCGATTCTAACAACTGTTGGGTGATAGAGCTGAATCATTTGAACTGGGGGTTTATCATTAGCACCTTGTTACTCACACTGAATGTGATGGATTGGAACATAGGGGAGATATAAAATATGGATCATAAAAGACAGCCAGTTTGGTGCAGTGGTTAGAGGCCCCAGGCTAGAAAGCGGGAGATGGTGAGTTCTAGTCCCGCCTTGGGCAAGAAAGCCGGCCTGGGGACTTTGGGCCCGCCACCCTCTCTCAGCCCAACTCACCCCACGGGGTGGTTGTTATGGGGAAAATAGGAGGAGGAAGGAGTATTAGGTGTGTTTGCTGCCTTGAGTTATTTATAAAAATAAGAAAGGCAGCATAAATTTTTTTTTAAAAAAAAATCCCAAATGAAGAAGGAAAACAAGCCCACTTGTTACATACTGAAAGAATATGGAGGTACTTCAGAAGAAAAAGAGATCACCTGTAAGAAATAATACTTGTTGGTTATCTGGTTGTGAGCAGGAGAAGGGGAAAAATATTACTGATCAACAATGAACACAAGGGATTGTCTCAGCAGGTGACATCTGTTTAAAGCAAAGCACTAGTCCACACCATAAAGACCCAAGCAGCCAGCTCTGAGGTTAATCAGTAACTGTAGTGGTTTAAGAAACCATATTCAAGTCCTAAAATCAATCAAGCAAGCAAGCAAGCTTCGTGATTAGTTTTAATTTAGCTATTTCAAAGTGTCTTTTTAAAAATCTTCCTTGTTAAGTCACAACTTTTAATAGAACATAAGGAGAATGAAATAATTTAGTACTTTTTTTCCCTGAATACTGCAGGGAATATTTATGACAGCAGATATGTGTCTACTTCCTTATTTTTGCCTAGAGATTGACCTGATTATCCTAACCTTTCTGGACAGAACACACATGAGTGATTGGATTAAGTTCTGGGCTTCTGCAGAACCTAACAGAATTAGGCTTCATTGAAACCTTACCTGGTATAAGACTTGTGAGAAGGAAATATTATTGCTCAGGTTTGGACTATAGATTACCAATGATAAGCTGCAATGGGTTTAACTGAGAACTTTAGCTGACAAGAGGACTTGTCTGTTGATTATTTCTGAGGCTAGGCTTACGAATCTATGTTTTTATTTCATGAAGAGGGAGAGGATACAGAAGACGGAGAAGAAAGATCTGATCCATAGTCATAAAGTAGCTTTGCGCCAACGGAATAAACATGGCAGTCTAAGAAAGGTAATTCAAAATCCAGATACAGCCATACAGCAAAACCTCTCTTCTTTGAAATGTAGCTCAGACGACAGAGGGAAGTGAAAAAGATATTGATGGCTGACAGATTCACTTGGGAGAAAACAGCCATTCAGCCATTACTATAAGTTGCAAGCAATTCATGGGTTTAAAGATCCAAGCCAGCACTTTGACCTGGGCACAGAAAGACACTAGCAGCTCAGGAAGCAATTGCAATAATTGGGTCATCAAGTGGTCAGATGCTCCCAATGACCTGCCAGCAGCCTCCTTCCTTCTCGAGGCTCTTCAACAGCAGTCCATGAAGAATGTCATGCAGGAGTCACCCAACTGTGATTTAACTATGGTGTGTGTCACCACAGCCAGATCTGACATCTTCAGGAATGAACACAGCTGACAAACCAACCTAAAAGGGCCAAAGCCGTTCTTGCTTACAGTGACTGCATCTACAGCCAATATCAAATCTGCAGCCTGGAGCTACAAGCAATGCTAGGTGCGGACGGTTGTAGACTGACACATCTCAGAGATATCCGTGTGAAAAAGTTGCCAGAGGCCACTGCCTGCCATAACACTAAGTTCTTTAATTGTCCTCTTGGAAAGGACAACACAAAACAATGGAATGACATCCAATGTTGGCAAGGTCCTTGAAGAGGCCAGGACTGATGGGACTGGCAGTTTCTAAGAGCTCCTGCAGAACCCAGCGGGATTATGAAGAAATGACACTGTTCAGCCATCCTGTGGTTATTCTGGGTTACAAAATGTTGGCTTTTGGTTAGATACAGGGCTATTTGAGTTTAGAGACTGTCAGCCCAGGAATGTAAAGAGAAGAAATATACCGGGTACATTCAGTTCCAGGTTCAATGCATGACTTGGATCAAACTCCAGAGACCTGTGCATATGAAAAAAAATAAGTAAGATGTAGAAGGAATACAACTTGTGGACCTATGAAAGTCAACCTCAGCAGTGAAAATGGTCTGGTGTCTCTGGTTCCTTCCTTCCTTCCTTTTTTTTTTCCCCCCAAACAGGTGATCTCAGAATTATCTGTTACATTGCTTTTGGGAGTTGAGCACCCCTTAGACTATACATTTTACAGGCAAAATAAAGTGTTTTGTTCTGTAGTGCTTCTTTGTAGGTCGGGCACAGGGATCCATTTTCAGAAAGAGTAGACTAGTCAAATCTTGGACAGATCAAATAGGCGCATTCTAACTTCTGGAATGCTTTAACATTTTTTTAGTGTAGTGACTGGGAGACCAAAAGGCATACAACTAACTTCTCAGAGCAACGGAGGTTTCTGGGACCATCAGGGCAAACTGCCAGACGACAAAGTGCTTTTGCAAATGGATAGACCGGACCTGCTCTCCAGGAACAAAAAGGAGACACCAATTGTCTTCTGGAACCCCAGCCACTGTATAGGTCTTAATGGACCTGTATGAAGGTTCTTTTATATCTTCCTACATATTGAAATAGATAATAAAAACATAAACGTCTTCCCTATCTAAAAAGGTACTGAATAAAACTCAAAGGGTTACTAATGTCCTTTAAAAAAATCACTGGACTTTATCTGAATAGAAGAAATAGTCAGGATAAAATATTTAGTAACTACCTGTAATAAAAGCATCTTCCCCATAGCTTTAATTTCGCAGTTATTAAATGTATGCCTTTTGACTGAAAGTATGTAAGAAAAGATGAAAAAAAAACCCACTGTCCCAAATTTTTCTGTCTCAAGTTCAGTTAATTATCTCCTGCTGCTTTGGGGGAGGGGTCTATATGTAAATGTGTTTCATGAGTATTTTATACTCCTTTAACTTGGGGAAAATAAAAGGTTTACATACCTGAATTGCTTCAGCAATATGACTGAAAGGGTCATCAGTAATAAATCAATCAATAAACAAATCAATAAATAAATCCAAATATTTGAATGATCTTGCAAGCCGTTTTGATAAAACACACATCTCAAATAAACAAATAAATGCAGCTTGGCTCTATTCAAAATGCAGTTCTTATAATGTGATTTCCAGTTCAATCTTGCAATCCAAACACAACAAATTTTGCCCATATTTCATAGAACTTTCTCCTTATAAATCAAAATGTGAGGTGCTTGCAATGCTTTTCTATAAATTTACATTACAATAAACCCTGATTATTATTGTAGAATATGCAAATTGAGTTTTCTGAAAACAGAATTATATTCAGTATGTGTTTATTTTATATAATACAATAAATGCAAATATATGGGGGCTTTTTTGGGGGGGGAGATCCTTTGAAGGAACCAGGAAATTATTCAAAGCTGTCACTTCCCTTCCACAAAATGTGTGCAAGAATGAGTCTATTTGCTCAAGGTTTCAGGTGTTAAAAATCCTATCGCCTTCTATACAGTATTTATGTTTAACACTAACCAACATTCTGTAGATAAGAAACAACAGAAAACGGAGAGAAGGCTGATAAAGCAAGACAGTAGGAAGCTTAAATGCCTTGGCAATCACTTAACAGGGTCATTGTGGCTGGCTTCTGATGAGAATAGCTCCGGGGCTTCCTTGTGGTACAAAAACACCCCTGCAGTCTTGGGGTGGGGGTTGTCCGTACAGAACATTAATAGCAGCCAGAAACCTGGGACATTAATGTACCAAAGAAAAATGATAACTACACTGTGGCTGAATGTTTAAAAGAACTAAGCATTATTCCCCTGCAATTTTGTTTTTAGAAGTCTGAAACAGGTTTTAATACAGACGCAAAAAGGAAAGAGACTTTCTTAAGCAGAGACACCCATACCGAAAGAGAAGAGGGAGGAACTCACTTAGCTTAACTAAGAAGCTACTGTATTTCTCAACCTTTTCTTCTATTCCATAGAAATAAATTTTCTGTCCAAGCAAATCCAATCATAATACTGTAATCCTTTAAAGGGGGCTGCAGAGGAAGCTCATTGGAGATATGAAAGCAGAACACAGGAGGTGGAAAGAAAGACAGAGAAGTCACCCGAGCAGAGGGCCAACAGGCAGCCTGGAACGGTGGAGATGAAGTCGGAAAGGCTAAAGTTGAAAATGAGCGGAGCTTGGTGAAAGATGCTAACAGAACCACAACAAGAGCTTCTTCAAAGATGTTTAGAATCAAAGGAAGATAAAAAAGGCACAACGTAGCAGTGGCTGAATGAGGATGGCCATCTGCCAGCTGCTCGGCAACCAGAGACAGTGACTCGACTGTTCTGGCTCAGTCTCTTCCAAGAAGAGGACGTGGGTTCCACAGGAAATAGTGAAGAGCAGGACAAGGGAGCTGGGTGGAAACACAGACTGATAAGCACACAGTCAAGGCACATCCATCTAAACCAGCTCAAAATCCCAGGGTCACCTGCTTCCCATCCTTGGTTGCTTAAGGAACTTGAATGCTGGCCTAACCGGTATGCATTTTGTTTGAGAAATCTTGGAGAATGGGAGGGCAATTTCTGTCCCTATCTTCAAAAAGAGGAACAATAAAGATCAGGCTATTACAGACCAGTCATCCATCAGGGGTGACTGGTCTAGAGCAGATCATAAAGCTATTGATCTCTAAGCATACTGAAGACCACATGGATTTTTCAAGAACAAATTTTGTCAGACTAATCTTTTATCTTCTTCGATCAGGGGATTGACTTCTCAAGTGAACTGTGAGAATGCTGAAAATGTAAAATAGTTAGATTTCAAGGAAGCATTTACACAGTATTCCGTGATGCTCTGATTAGCGGTTAGGTGGACACCCAGCTGCACTGAAAATTGTACTCAAATCACGCTGCTCAATGAAGCCTCACTCAATTGGAATAAATTAATGTGCCACAAGGTTAAATTCTCTCCATGATTTGCATTAATAACTTGCACGAGGAGGTGGAAAGGATGCTTATCAAATTTGCAGATGACACCAAAATGGGTATGGTAACCAATAGAAGACAGGAATAAAATTCTAAATAACTCTGATAAACTGGAGAAATTGGATTAAAATAACAGAATGCAATGTAACAGAGATAAATTCAAGGTTATCCATTCAGGAAACAGAAATCAAGGACAGACTTGGGATGCCTGGCCTGGCAACAGCACTTGTGAAAAGGTTTGTGAATCAGTCACTGATGACCAACGGCAGGAGTCAGCCGCACGAAGCGGCTGCAAAAAAGGCAAGTGTGCTTCTGAAGGCATCACAGGGTACCCTTTCCAAAACAAGGGAAATCACCACGCCACCTCATTTGTACTGGTCTGACCTTGCCTCTAGTCCTGTATCAGTTCTGGTCGCCGCAGTTTCAGATAAAGTGGGATAGGGTAAGAAGGACAACAGGAATGCTTAGACAGAATGCTTAGCCTTTGGAAAAGCTGGCTGGAGGGAGTCATGACACTGTTCTTCAATATCTGGAAGGAGAACACACAGAAGGAGAGCTAGATGTGCCCCCTCGTGTTTCACAGTGGAGAGAATAATGGATTTAAGCTGACAGGAAGGCAGATGAATGTTCTTCTTGAATGTTAGAAAAAAAATTTGCAACGTATGAGTGAAACCAATGAACCAGAGTAGCGATGGCTTTCTTTTTCAAGATACACACACACACAGAAGTTAGGCAGTTGTCTCTCAGGGACAATTTAATCTGGATCCCTGCACTGAGAGCTGGACTCCTGTCCAGAAGGTTGAACCTGGTGGCCTAAATGGTCTCTTCCAACAGTATAATTCTAAGATATGAACATCCCTTCTGTCAAAACGTTATTCCTGTTTTGCACCACTGGAGCTGGTTAGCAGTCTGAAGGCTGGCATCTGAGGGCAAGAGGCTGTTCTGAAAAACACTGGTAGCTGTAATTATCTCAGTCCTTTGGGGGTGGAGGATGTCCACTCTGCAAGCATAGCCACCATTTTCCTCCACAGGTGTGCTGAGAAATTGGATGCTTAATTCATTCTCCCTGTCTGTATGCAGTTTGCTGCCCCCCCCCCCCCCCCCCCCCC